TGCTTGGCAAACGAAGTTGCCCTAAGCTGAGCAGCCTCCTGTGTGTGAGGAACCTGAGCAATCAATATATCCTCACAAGTCATTAAAAGACCTTTGTGTAAGTCAGGCAATAGTAGCAGGAAGGAAAAAACACTGCTCAGAGAGGCAGATCATTCCCTGGGGAGAATCCTGCCTGTCCCTCCACCCCTCTGTATCCAGGGAATTTGCTGCTGGCTGACAAACAGCCCCTGTGTTATCATAGGCAAGAATTCAGCTGGTTTTTGCAGGAAAAGATGGTAAAAGTGGCAGTGGCTGTGCCCAAGCCCTTGATGCCATGGCCCAGAGGGAAGGCAGAGGTGTTGGGAAGGGTCTTTCCCCTTTCCAAGCTGCGGGCAAAGCCATGGAGCATTCCCTCTGCTACAGACACCTCCGAGGAGCCCCTGTGGGCCACCCCCTCCCTGAGAGGCTTCAGCACCAATTATATCTGCACCTATTTTAGGATTACTCCCTAACCACCTGGAATATCTTATTAGAGGGTAGCTCAGATGTCCAGAGCAATTTTGGTTTCCAAGCCCACGTTCAAAGGCCAGAGTTAACCCTGAGCTGCCGAGCAGAGGAGGAGGAGGAGATGCCAAACACTTTCTGCTTTGCTCTGCCCATTCTTTTGAGGTAAAACCCTTCCAAAGCAGCTGCCTCAAGCCCTCCCTGCAGGACAGCCACAGCCTCACCTATTTGTCCCTCCCAGAGGCTGAAGAGCTCAAAACTCCATGCTCTAGAATATATAATGCATGAATGCAAACAGCACAGCAGCTCATCATCTCCTCTTCCAGCTTTGCCTGCACAAACATTCCTGTGCAAACACAGGAGACATTGGAAATGCTTCTTTTCCAGCTCATTCCCTATTCCCCCAGCCCAGCTCCATACTGCTGGTTGAGAGAGGCTCAGCTAAAGCCTCAGACGACCAAGCTGTATTCAAATGGCAAACTCAGAATGTGCGAGAAAGTCACTTGAGCTTTAACATGGACAAGAAAAGAGGGATAAAAAATGCCTGGAGTGAAACTCAAACTCCTTGTGCACCTCCTCACTGCAGAGCTGCAGCTTGGACAGACGGTTCAGGCCAGGAATCTGCTGAAATATCCACTTAGGGATGAGGCTAAAGGTTGCAATGAAGAAGAAAGCTCCTCCCTTACCCCGTGGGGTAACTGCAAGCAGCAAGTCAATGAGAAGGTACAGGGGCAGCAATTTCAGGATTATCAGAGAATCCACAGAAATTCCTTTTGTGGGCAGAGTTAAGCCTTAGGAAGTGAAACAGATGCTATTATAAAGCAAACTGTTGTAGTACAAAATGCTGATAAGATCAGGAGTGCCCTGAGCTGCAAGTTCTCAGGCACAGAGAGCTGAGTTATAATTACTGCCTGCACAAGCCCTGCTGGAATGGGAATCAACCCTTCCCAGCCTTCCTAATAACAGAGCTCAATTCAGCATCCACAGGCTTCAAAGCCAGGGCTGGAAAACATTTTAGTGATTTCAGGAATGGCAGGGAGGATGGGGAAGGGAAGAGGAAGAATGGGCTGAAGTTAACTGATTCATTCCCTTCACTGATGAAGGTTTCTAGGTGTTCCCAACACCAACATAATTCTCTGCCAAACAGGAATCTGCTTCCTTATCCTTAAGGAAAAGTTGAACTCTTTGTGGATGATTCTACAACTACTCAGAGGAGTGAAGTAAAAGCTTTGTTGGGTGCTGTCTGGCTGTGGGAAGAGGAATTACCACACCAGACTCACTGATTCACCCCAAAGTGAGAAAAACACAAGTGCAGGAAAACACCACATTGCAGCTCTTTCCACCTCCTGTCTCCAGTGGCAGCCTGAATTCCTATAAATTAAGAGGGAGACAGCTTCAACTGTTCCTATGGATAAGTTTAGCACCTTAAAAAACCCTAAAATGAACCATATCTTCCCCAGGATATAAATGAGCTTCTCCACTTCCAGCACAGTCACTGCAATATAACCCACCTATGGAACTGCTTCTGGAGATAATTGCTGAGGGAATGCTCTAAACTTAAACCAAGAATTTCAGGAGAAGCAGCAAATGGTAATTTAAGAATACCAACCTGTCCTTACAGCAAAAGAGAAACCAAATATTTAACAGCAGCTATTAAGGAAGAAATCCTTTCCCACTACATCATAAAAGGAGAACTACCCAGTGACACACCTAAGGAGTTAAAAATCCAACCCTGGATGGGGTCCTGGATAGCTCAAATAACTAGGAGGGAATAAACACAGTGTGAAATGCCACTTTTTTATCCCTGGGACCTTTCCCCCCTGGATTAATGAGTATCTCCTGAGCAATACCTCCACACACCCCACTTGAGGCACATAGCTAAGGTTATGGAATCCCAGCCACTCATTCCTGGAGCCTGGAGCAAAAGCACAGTAATTATTTGAAGCTGACTTATCTTAATAAACACCCTGACCTTTGGAAAAGTTTAGGTCAGGATTTTCAGGAGTGACTGGTGATTTCTGAGAGTCTAGTCATGAGGCACACCCCCAAAATCCAGGCCACAACCCACTCCCTGGAAGCCCCATGGCTGTTTCATGGACTCGTACCTGCAGGCATTAGGTACCAGCTGATGCCTGAAAACCTTGGCTTTGTTTTCACACCTTCCCTGCAGGAATGTGTGTGCTGGAGTACAGCCTGATAAAACTGCTCAGACTAGTGCTGTCTTGAGTGGGAAAGGAACAAGCAGCACCGAGGCAGTGGCTCTGGTCCTGCCTTTCCTACACAGCTCTCCTGGGAAACCAGAAGCATCTCCAACCATTGTGAATTCCCACAGGATGAGGATCCACCACCCAAGCACCATCCCAAAGCAATACTGGCACACATGGAATTAAAACCTCCTTTTTCTCCCAAGCCAGGCAGCCCCCAGGAGTATGTTAAGGGGTTGGAATGCACCTTAGAGGTCATCCAGTCCCAGCCCCCTGCCCTGAGCAGGGACACCTCCCACCAGAACAGGTTGCTCGAGGCTTCATCCAACCTGGCTGTGAACACTGCCAGGGTTGGGGCAACCACAGCCTCCCTGGGCAACCTGTGTCAGTGTCTCACCACCCTCACAGGAGAACACTTCTTCCTAAGATTTAATCTAAATTTCCATCTTTCAATTTCTCCCCATTGCTCCTTGTCCTTGTCTCAGGATCTCCAAGATATGCCTTGGAAACAGCTTTCCATCCAGCAAGGCAGTGTGCTACCACTGAGCACAAGGAATTAAGCGGCCAGTCCCTAGCTCCACACACAATTCCACCCTTCCCTGTCATGCCATCCCCCTGGTTCATTCCCCATGTATCCTCCAGCTCCAAACTGGGATTCAGCAGTTCAATTTTTACCCCCTGCAATGCAGGTTCTGCTGGTGAGAGCAAACAAGTCCATCTGCAACACTGACCCCACCCGAGGGGAATATTCTGCACCAGTATCACCAACACTGGGCACCTCAACATGGCCTTGGGGGCCCCAAATCCCACCTCAGCCGTAACATCCCACCTTAGCCACATCCTTCACCTATGGATCCAAGTCACCCCATCTCCAATGGCTGAGCCAGGAGACAGTATTTTGGGACAACCTGTGATACTGCCCACTTTCTGTCCTGCTTCCCCACCACCCAGAACTGTTGTAGCACATCCCAATCCTGCTCTTCCTTTATAATCCATTCCTTCACTTGATGTCCACGAATCCCTCTGATTTCTTTCTTTCCTGCCTGCCTCCCTAGCAGTAAATCACAATTAACACAGCAGCAAGAGTTTGCCTTTCAGTTTTTCCTGCTGCAGCTTTGTGCACTTTGGCTTCCAGAAGAAATCCTGGAAGCAGCCCAAGCTGCAACCAAAATACTGGCTCAGAAATGGGCTGAAGGCACTGGAGCAGCAGCAGTACACACTATGCCTATTGTATAATAGTGGTTTATTCCAATTTTTTTTCCTATTCCACATCAGCCAAACCCAGCTCTGACTTGCTTCTGGCCACCTGTCTTCCCAGAAGGACCAGGAAGACCTGCAGAGCTTTCCCAGGAAAAGCACAATGACATATTTGTCAGCATTGGCTGAGCAAAGAATAAACCCACAGACTAATGCTAAGGTTATTTGGCTTTTTAAAGCAAGTGATCCCTTAGCACCAGGGCCCTGCCTGCTCTGCTCCACCCAGAGCCCTGAAAGAGGAAGCTTTCACCACTCCCAGCCAGTAAATTCTGAAGCAATGGCCCCTGACTGCCATGCCCAACTCATTTCCCTCCAGCAGCTTGAGCAACTCCTTCCTCAAACCAATCCCTCCTGGGAAGCAAACAGAGCAAAACCAGCAGCAAGTGCTTGCCTGCTGCAGCCTCTGTATGTTTTAGAGGCCCATGAGCACAAATGCCAATCACCTGGCAATTCACAGGAGTTCCTGCCACAGGCATTGCTGTAGGAACACCCAACTGGCACTGCAACAGCAGGGGAGGAAAAGACCACAGTAATCCACTCACAACAAGAAAAAGAATCCTGTGATCCTCTGGCATTTATCTACAAGGAGGAGCAATTCTTGAGTCAAACAGGGAATTAACCTCCTACCAAGCAGCAGCAGAAAGTTGGCTTCTTCTTTCTGTCCCTAACATGAAATATAAAGTGGGTTGCACTCCCAGGAGGAGTGGCAGGACAATTCCCTGCCTGCCCACACCACCCTCCTGAAATCCAAGGTTCAGGCAGCCCAGAAAAGATCACAGTAGTCTGCTGCAAACCCACTCACAACAAGGAAAAGAGTCCTCTAGCATATATCTCCAAGGAGTAGTAATTCTTCAGTCAAACACAGAATTAACCTCCTACTAAGCAGAAGCAAGTTGGCTTTTCCTTCCCACACATGAAATATAAAGTGGCTCTTATTCCCAGAAGGAGTGGCAGGACACAATTCCCTGCCTACCCACAGTACCAGCCAGAGATCCAATGTTCAGGCAGCCCAGAAATGACCACAGCAATCCACTGCAAACCCACTCACTACAAGGAAAAGAATCCTCTGGCATTCATCTACAAGGAGTAGTAACTCTTCAGTCAGAGAATTAACCTCCTGCCAAGCAGCAGCTCCTTCCTTCCTATCCACACATGAAATATGAAGTGGGTCTCACTCCCAGGATGAGTGGCAGAACACAATTCCCTGCCTGCCCACACCACCCAAGGTTCACCCAGAGGTCCTACACAAAGGGGTTGGAGACACCATACAAGAAATAACACCAGGGAGACATTAGCACCCAAAAGAAACAGACTACCAGGCTGTTCCTTTGGAAATACCCCCCCAAATCCTTCCCCACAAAGCTTCCCACAGCTTGGGGTTTCTCCATCACTAGCAAGAAAGCAAAGCTCTTAGGGAACCCCTTTATAAATGGCAAAACTTGGGAAACAGGGAAGCATCACTCTGCATGTGCCTTCCAAAACACTTCCAAATGCTTGTAAGATAAAACTCCCCTCAGACTGCCTGGATTTTTGGGAGGAAGGAATGTCAGCACTGACCTGTTTGAGCTGCTCCTCCAAGCGCCAGTTGGGACGTCCCGAGGGGGAGCCTGAATACAGCTGCTTAGTAGTGTCTTTACCCTGTTCTTCCTTGCCCTGCTGTGTTCCCCGGGGGTGCCCTGGAGCTGGGAGAGGACTGGAGGTAGACGCCACTCTTTGGTTGTGCTGGACAACTTTGGGAGCATGGAAATATTTCCGAGCAGAGCAGCTTTCCTTTGCAGTCACGTCAGGGCCGCCATCCTCCAGCTCGCCGCCTTCTTCCTCCTCCTCCTCTTCATCATCCTCCTCCTCTTCCTCCTCCTCCTCCTCTTCTGGCTCTGAATTCATGCTGCTCTGATCAAAAGGCTGAGCAGCTCCAGCTGCAGGTGTGGCTCTGGG